AATGACAAATATCATCCCAAAGCACTGAGGTAGGCTCTCTCTGGAATCACTCATCTTATTTGTGGCAGACTATGCGGTATATTCATAAGAAAACATAATAATTTGCTAGCCCATCCAAAGCGAAAAGTCAGAAAAAGAAGCACCCATGAAATGCAGTTTCTTCAGATTTCCACTTCCCACTCAACCTCTGCAATATTTTCTTCACTCTCCTATTTCTGTCACACGATCTTCTTTTACAGAGAGTTTAAATCATTTTATCCTAGTTATAAATCTAAAACTGATTTCCAAAGTTAACAATGATGGATGATGACACTTTCCTATTGCTATTTAATTGCTTCAACACCAGTGCTTTGATAAATTGGCTAAAGTATGTCTTTTTTTTTTTTTCCCCCAGTTTCATCTTAATAGTCTTTACTTTCATGGTTTAACCCTCTTGGAGCATTTAAAAATGATTTTGTAGTCAGTAATGTATTTAATGCCAGAAAAGATAAACCTTGGCAAGCTAGATTGTTGTAATTACTTCTGTGTTACATCTCTGACATTGCAGAATGGCGAATCAGACCACCTTTACTGGAACAGTACTAACCCACAACTTGTCGTTGTGGGTTAAAACACATCGTTTTTTAATTACTTTAACATTGGCTATAAATATCTATTCCTTCTTTATATCTGTCCTTCTTTCCAGTTAAACTATTCTCATATTCTGAATGTTGATAATCCTGTAGAACACAGGATTACCAGAGCTTTAAACATTTGCCATTTGATCCCCTAGCCACTTCATCCTTGACTTTCAGAAAACAGGCCTGGTTCCCTGCAAGTGCTGCCTGCCCAACCTCATGACAGTTCAATTAAACCGATCACTTTCACAGGGTGTAGATGGGCTGCTGTTCTCAGTAAATACCTCACCTCCGTTTTCTGACACACAGTTGCATTCAAAGTCACCCAAAACACTGACTTTATTCAATTACAGCAAATCCACTGATTTTCAAGGCTCTAGCTCATCTCCAGGATTGTATTTTCTACCATCACAGTGAATTTCAGCATCTGAATACCTGAGAAACAAGTTCCTCTTAAAATTTACTCTAAGCAAAAGCCAGCTACCTCAGCTATGTATAGCACTGAGGTTTACTCTCTCCCTGAATAGAATTATACGTATTTTGAAAATGGGAAAAAAATTACAAGTGATCAAAAGCATTAAGCATAAGGATTATGACGGGGGGGGGGGATTATACCTTATATGCAGCCCCATAACAAAAGAACAGAGAAACTGCAGTATCATTTCAAATCTGAGCAGTGCCAGGCCTGGGAGCATATGGCATTGCACTGGCCTATTCTGTTGCTCTTCATGTCAAGAGAAGGCACCCTGAGGTTCTCCAAAGCCTGCGGAATATCAGCCTCCGCTGAGAGGTAAAGGGCTCTCAGCAGAGTTTTTCATCAAGCTCTGAGCAGATGTCTCTTTGTTGTTGTTTTTTTGTTTGCTTTTTTTTCTTTTAAGTGAGCATGAATAAACTAGCTCACCCAGAGAAATCAAGACAACAGGGATGGGTAATTCCACTGAATTCTTTTTCTACCTCTAGCACCGTTTTTATATTGCACATCTGAAGGGAAAGCTTTTAAGATAATGCTGAGTAAAATATAAACGTCACTGAAAAGTCAGATGGCAGGAATTCAACCAGAAAAAAAAATATTTTCGCTTCAACTAGTCCCCCTTGCACTTGTTGCCCAGCTCTTTCAGTTAACTGACAACTTTCCTAATGCACTGTGCTCAGCCTCCTCCTCGTTTCCAGCAATTCACATCATGAACTATGCCCACTTACATGAAAATGCTAAGAACTTCTTCCTTCATTCAAAGGGAGTTAAGAGTTATCCTGAAGCCAGAAAAAAAAAAAAAAAAAAAAAAAGTGTATAACCAAGGCCATTTCAGAAAGAATGTCACCTTGAAAGCATGGACAAGGATAGAACAGTCTTATAGTAAGCCTTCTCTTGACACATGTACCATCAGTGGAGATGCCTGACTGTGATATGTCACTAAGATGAGGCTGGTGAAAGAACATAATCTTGGAAGGACACTTGCCTCTCCATCTGCTCAAAGAACCTGGCTATTACCACTCAAGTGACACTGCAAAGCCAGAGGTTTGTCTTAAACAAAAATGTAGTGTTAGACGAAACAGCTTGCCACCTCTCAAGGTTTCTGAATTCAGAGAACTGGAATCAAATAGAAAGGGCAAAGGCACTTCCACAGTGCTGAAGGTGGACCAAGAATTTTAATTGCTGTTCAGATTCTGAGAACTTTGGCTTATATACACATTCATCTTACCTGAAAAACCAGCAGTGCCCAGGAACAAGACTACTGTAGTAACGTCTCCGAATTCAGCCTACTACGGAGTCACCACTGGAATATATGATGTGAAGATGAAGAAACTAAACCCTACAGAAGACCACAGTACGAAGGGAAACTTTGATGTCTGCACAAGAGCTTACTCTGTCAACCTAACTTGTCAAAGTACTAACTTACTGACGTTTAGGGTTACTGATTTTGCTCTTCTTCAAAGGAAGCTATTTAAGATATCTGAGACATGAGTGTACAAACACTTTGATCTTTCTGCATAAAATGCAACGTTTCAGGCTGAGTATTTATGTTGAAATTAATATATTTTCCTACCAAATAAAACTATTTTTTTTGTAGCATTTACCCAAGAACATGATTTTGAATTCTATGAACTATTTTGGAGTAAGCTTTTTTCTTTTTTAAGCACACAGTTCTGAGCTGACATGAGGGTTAAATTACCACTCCTGACCTTCTCTATTTCTCTTTCTTACTATCACTGTTCCTTCTCCTCCAGCTAGGAGATAGTTAAACTTGTTCATGCATTTATGTGCGTTCACCTATTGATGACTTTCAGGACATTTGCCTTGTTGATATTTCTAACACTGATGGTAGCTACTTTTTATTGTATCAAGTTTATCACACCTGAGCTGTGATAACAATGTTATCAATTTGCGGTAGTATAAGACAAAGTCACCAAATATTTAAGGTCCTAGAAAGGCATTTTTGCAGCTTTCTAATGTAAGCTACCCTAACACCAACTCTCAGGCTAAGTTGCTTTAGCAGACTCACATCTCTCTCTCCAATCTGCAATTGCGTCACTGCACTGCAGTGCAAAAGTGCTTTAAAGCCCTTATGCACTTGTAGCAGATCTAACTTCAGCACCATGGGAATCCAGATACCACTTGTATGGTAATCTGTAATTAGAAGCTGTCAAGAAACATGGAGGAACATCTCCTGCTACACTATCTTTAAAGATGTATCTAGGAGCAATACCATCAATCACAAATAAGCAGGTTTTCAGTTCAGTGAGTAAACTGATTTTTGTCATGTCTACATTTATTTAGGGATGCTAGCAAAAAAAACTTATTTTTTTGTGCAGCATTTGTATAAAAAGCAAATAAACTAATGTTTTCAGATTTCAAATGTAGCTCTTCAGTGAACTGTGGTTTTTTGAGTATATAAAACACTTAGTAGCTCACCTGCTAAATATCTACCCAGAAAATATTACATTTTGGGAAACAGAATTTCACTGTGTATTCTGTTACCAAATCTTTATGCTTGAGGATCCCTTATAAAATTACATGGCAGTCTCCAACGTGATTTTCTATTTCTTTTCCTAAAATGTAATTTTCTGTACATTTTCGATAAATAACTGTAATGAAGTAGTTCTGAATGAATGTTGGGAAAGTTTAACCTACATTTGGTGCACAAGCTCTGAGGATCAGTAAAAGTTTTTGCAGGACTATAGTAAGTTTAATAAATGCATTTGTCACTGCACTTTCTTAGGAAAAGGCAACCCTTTCAGTTTCACTATGGGTTTCTTTTGTGCAGACAGTCCAAATTCAGAAACATACCAAATCCATGGTTACTTCTGGGAACAAATACAGCATTCTGTCTTTGCAAATTTTCAAGCAAGTTCATCCAAGATAACTGCCATTATAAATCCTTGTCCAGTGTTTCTTCTTTTTAAAACAATTCTTTAAAAGAAAAAACCTGTAACTACCCCAACAGTACAATGATATAGAATTTCTGCACTCCTTTTCTCTGTGCTTTTCTTTCCCTACAGTTACTAAGTTTCTAAAAAAGATAAATTGCTACTGACAGTGGAGATCACGCTACAGCACTAGAGAAGAACAGATTTAACAGCAGATAAGAGCCAAAAGAATCCTCCAAATGCTATAGGAGCAACCCACAGTTTGTTTTCTGTTCCTACCCAAATGGCAGTGGAGACATATGAGCCTGCCAACGCAATGATTCTCATTAGAGTAGCACATACACTAACAGAAACACTGAACAATATGAACTTGTACTACTTCAGTACTCTTTTACGAACAACAATTATCTTAGTAACAATCTTTTCAAATTAAGTCACTGAATGTTTGTAATTTATGTGAGATCAAGAAATCAAGGAATATTTGGAAAGGTTTCTGAGAATACTTCTGTGGTTCCATTTGCAGGCAGACAGCTCTCCCCATTCTTCTGTCTGGGACATGTATAGTTCCTATATCAGATTCTGAAATATTCCTGAGCATATTTCTGCCACAGGAGTAATAGGGAGTTGGGGACTATTTCTGCTTGGCTTTGTGATTATACTTTCCTATTTCAGATAGGGATACTTACAATTCTGTGAGGACTAAACCAATTAAGTGCTAATTGATTTTCTAGCACTTATGAAGAGGTAATTCACCCATCACATCTCCCACTGAAAACAATAATGACTATTAAAGGGACAGCATAAGATCAGTATTGTAGTCAAAAGTTCTAAATAAATAGTCATAGAGTATTTGTTAGTGAGAGCAAATAAGGATCTGAGTTTTTAATGGATGATTCAATCTGAGTTCCTCACTCTCCATTCACTCTGTGGCTGCTGTATGCTGCAGTCCCGCCTCTCACTGCCAGCCTGCATCGGAATGATAATCAGTCACTATGAAAACTCATTAGCTCCACAGCAATGAGTCCTCCACTGCTGAAGCTTGGTGCTGTTCTTAGCACCATGGCAATGATCTCTAACTGGATGTCCCAAATTCTCCCATCTCTGGTAGGACTAAATACCACCAGACTACCCACTTCAGATACTCTAGTAAGTAGCTATGATGTGTTGCAAGCCATCTTAATGCTGAACTAGAATTTAAGTGCTAGCAAAAGCTTTACTCTGTTGCCTCTTTGTAAATCTTTTTAATACTAACATTCCTATCATCACTTAATGCATGCTACTCTTTGGGCATCATAACTTGGTGAGCATGTTGTGGTCTTACTATGGACAAGAAGGTATCAAGTAACATCCTTAAATATTTATGAAAAAAATGTTTTCATCTTGAGGGTGAAATGCTAAAAATAGTACAGCAGCATCATTTTATTTGCCTAGACATTTTTCCTTTGTTTACTGCTCCAGAAAAATGTACTGCATTATTAAAGAGAACAGATTTCAGGCAGTAGATTTCTTGTTAATTTTTGTCTGCTATACATTTTTCCTTATTGGAACACAGTAAAACAAATAAGTAGCTGTTAGAAACAAAATAGAATTAGTACTAAGAGGGTGGGTATCAGAAAATTAGAAAGGCAAGTAACAAATGACACAAATAGCAGTTTGTATGGCTGATGATCTTATATAGCAGCATCTGTTAAAGACCACATACAGAAAACCTGTGATTAGCTATTCACGAAAATTGTAAATAGCAAGCACTTAATTGGACAACAAGGAACACCATACTGGTATTCATAAGTTGAAGTAAAACATAATTTTTCCAAATGTTTAGCAAACCGCTATATGTTAACTGCAATCAGATGTTTATATAAGTGTGTTATGTAAAATGTAAATTTCACTATTTGTACAGAAGATTGCTATGCTCAGACTTATTTTTTAGCTGTAAAAAGAATGATGTATTTACTAATCAATGTTTAATTGAATATATGTATGCAGGAAAAGCATTACTGCAGGAAGTCACTACATTTGGGCTTTAAATGTTGCTACTTAAAACTTAATTATGCTGTAAGAAAGAATTCTGTTAAGTTTTAGAGCATCACAAAGCTGAGCAGATGAAGAAAAATTCCATTTTATTTTCTTTCAATGTATCTTATGTCCAGTGAACTAGAATGCAGGTGGCAATATGATATAACAAGAAATAAGGTTCCCTAATTTAAATCCAAGTTTAAAGCTGCAACTGAGTAGCTGAGAGTTTCACCCTAGTTACTATATAATATAGGCATAAATAGTTATAAACACACATCTATCATTATATATGTTTACATATTCAGATTCAAAGTAGTGTGAATTTGTGCTTCCCTTCACTCCAAAAAAACACAAATTACACAAAGGCCTCATAAGTGTTGTTTCAGTGATGCAATTTGCAATCATTAAGTAGAGTGTTTCAAGAGAGCTAGCACAAGTGCCCTAAGATCCAGGGACACAACCATAGAATCCTTATTATCTGAGGTCGGCATCATCTGCCAAATGGAAAAAATACCATCTTCAGTCTGGTGGGGTTTTGGCATAAAACCAAGCATCTCAGGCTTTTCCTTAACTTCAGCTGTTGACTGACAGACTTTATGCCCCAGATGTTTGACAGTGCTGTAGTCATCACTAACTGCTGCATCACCAAGCTGCTGTCATCCACTGTCAGCTTCCCCAGTGATCAGATCAGTGTAAGCAGTGCTCCAGAAGTTTTCTTCTAGGATACATACAGCTCAGAAATGTCAGGAAAACAAAGTAAAACCTCCTCATCTTCACTAACATTTTCTCCTCCTCCCAACTGGAGCAACAAGGTGAGTCAGGGCAAAAGGCCTCCTCACCAGCAGTGACTCCGTCCCTGGACTGAAGTCACGGGACAAACAGACAAATACTGTCTATATCTAAGCAATGATGCGAAGTACACATGTTGCGATTTGTCCTGTCACTGGTAACAGTGGAGGCTCCTATAAGAATATCTACAATTGCAAGTGAAAAAAAGTACAACTTTTAGAGTTAAGTGAAGTGACTGCATCGCACAGCAGCCTGCCAAACCAGATTAATGCAGTCTTGGAGGAGATGCCTCTGTTTTCTCCCAGTTTCCAAGAACTAGTATGATTTATTATCATTGCTGCTGTTTGCCAGTTGTTATCTCTTTCCTCGTTTGTTTTCTAAGGCCTGTCAGCAGTAAGTCTGCATCTGAAGAGTAGATTCAGTAGCTCTCCTCAGGTTTTGATGCCTGCTAGATTTTCCCCCACAGCAGTTTCTGCTTAAGACTGGGCTTAAAGGGCAAAGCAAAGAAAAAATAACAATCCATCCTACTTAACAAAGGAACCCTAATGGGATAAATAAGGTAAACATAGACTACCGGAAAGAACTGCAGCCTATACTGGGGGTGTGACTTCAGCAACTCATTTCTGCACAGCTATTCCATCACAGCACACTCAGACTGTGCCTGAAGGTCTTTTTTTGTGAGAAGTTTTTTTTTTTAATCAAGTCACAATTAGGTTGAGTTGATCAATGATCTATTTTTTCTTAGACCAGACACAGACACATTACATCATTAGAACCATTAAGTTCCATTGACAACACAGCCTGGACTATAACTGCCTCACTATAGACTGTGTATGATGGTGCTGCCTCATCCATTCTCCTCTGTACAGAACTCATTCACTGATGTACTAAACTGAATGCAGTAAAATCTAAATATAGATTTTAACATAGATATCACAAATATCACAATCTGTGCACAAATCATACTGAGTATTCCTGTCCTATAGGACTTATCACAAGCTCTAGGTTCCTGAACTTCAACAAAAGCTTGCTCCTGCGTGGCCATGCTGTCTGGGCATCAGTTCTACACAGAAACATAAAAACTTGTGGAGTGAACAGAGCTTACACTTTGCAAGGGTTACCAGCTTTGATGGGCTTCAGCTGTTCCAGCCTGCAGTTTTAGTATCTGCTCAAAACCAAATTAAGCTACTTCTCCAGCTGTAAGTTTGATTCTTATTTTTGTATACATATATAATTAAATTCCTATGATGTACTTAATTTTTAGGGCAAAAGAAGTGAAACCATTTAGCACTGGATATGCCTTTCTAGCAAATTCTAAGGCAAGTTTAGCTGTCCCCTATTTACAGCCATCTATGTATGCCTTCCTTTTCCTTGCAAAACAGAGGAACATCACAACTCTGAATTTTTCACTAAATTCCACAGTAGAAGAGATCACTTCCATCTTCACTGGCTTCCTCAGAGGAGTCATTGTAAGGAAAAAAAGTTTGCCTGCTAACACCAAATTGATTCCCGGAAAAGTAGTGCTAACTTCCCTACTAATTTCAGTCTACAGAGACACTGCATGTTTTCTGAGATGAGAAGTTATGCAACTTACTCCTCCCTCTATGCATCAATAGAAGCTTGCTGGTTTTAACAATCACTCTCCATGCTGACAATTAGTGCAATTTTATAGTATAATTAGTAATTGATTTCAACTACATCCAGAAATATTTCAGTGCTATCCATTAGCAACTGTACTATGAAATTCGGTTAATACTGTATTATTAGGAAAAAATAACACTTCATATTAATTTTAAATTACAGATTGAGAAAAGAAAAATATTTCTGGTGTCCATTACTCTTCATTCCCTCACCTGAGTTCATTCATGTAATTACATAGTCCCATTCCAACACTCTAAGACCTCCATACTTTCCATTAAACAGACAGATACCATTTTCACAAAGTGCCACCAAAGCTTCAAAGACATTTTAAAGGAATGCTAGGAATTTCCAGAACTGTTCTAGTCCTGTCCTAGTGAACCACAGTTCAGTGTCTTAACTGCATTATGCCATATCTGCCATCACTTCCCTCCATCTAAACTAATCTGGCACTTCTCAGCACTGCCCTGCAGCAAGCCTTCTCCCTTTAGTGTGAGCACAGCTGAAGTCAATGGAGAACAGTTTTCTGTGCTGCATCTTGAAGAGCAAGCTTGCTAACCCCCATCCAGAATCACGTCCAAACCATCTTCCTATTGCATGAGTCACATATACTGCACTCTCTCTTTGGGATTTTATATTTGTTCTTTTCTGACTTTGTTGTTTCCATTAGTTTAAAGTAAAAGTCATTCAGGCTGAAAGGACATATTTGCTCTCTGTTAATGAAAAACCGAAGCATTGCTCTGCAAAGAATTAAATCAACCAGCTTGCACTGAATCCCAAGCAGGAAACTGTTCTCATCACTGGAAACAATGCTCACAGCACACTGCTAAAGATGTATTACGAATCTGAACAAAATCACCAGTACAAATAGTTAAGAGAATAATGAGCAATGACTAGGAGGAATCTCGCTGCAAATATATAATGCAAAAGTAAACCAAAATAGGTAGTGTTTTCAAACAACAGAATCAGTTCAGCTCCCTTCATTTGCATTATTACTATTGTGTGTTACAGACTCAAATTAGCCCCAAGGAAGGATGGCAAGTTTATAGTTCAGCCCAGGATCCTGATGGCCGCTGCATTTGTACAGTTGTTGCACCTGAACAAAACCTGTGCTCAAGAGATGCCAAGAGCAGGCAACTTAGACAGCTGCTAGAGAAGGTAAGTCTGCCCAAGGAACTCTTCCTTCTGCTCAATACATTTCCCACAAAAATCCACTTCTTTCTGTTACCTAACAAAACTATTTCTTCAGGGTATGTCTCCTATCAGTGTTTTCAGCACCTTCCCAAATTTTTCAGTTGTCGTTGTAGCATACCTTTGCCAACCCAAGCCGTTTGCCTAGCAAACTGAAGTTGCATCTTCTCTTATTCATTCCTCCCAAAAGTTTTCCTCACACATAGTCAGGACTGATTTTCCCTATGTTGAATATTACAAATCCCACCTCAAACTACCTAGTTGTTGGAGGGTTTGAACTACAGCTTCTGCTTCAATTATATATCTTTTGAAGGTCATTCCTTGCCTCACATCAACTAATAATGAAATACAGGCAGGACAGCATGATCAAAGCAGACCATACAAAAGAGAAATATGCTAATTTGCTTTTACTTATTTTCTCACTTACTATCTACTTTGTTCTCTGGTTACGCAAATTTTGCCCAAAAACCCAAGATCTACTCCCAGTACCATCCACTGTTGTCTATACTAAAACTAGTACAGTTTTAAAAGTATTAAAAAAAGAAAATGCTGCAACCATGAAAAGACAAATTATTGTCCTGCATTCTCTGCATAGTTAAGTCAATAGTGATTGTAGTGCATAACCTCAGAGTAGGAGATATGAGATAGAAAAATTGAACAGCAGCAGCAGAAAGCAACATACAATGTAGACAGAAAAAATGTATTTTTAGCATATCGTATTTTTTCAGTATTGTTCTAGCTAAAAAAAATCATGTCAGTGTTAATGTAATGGCAGATCCTGCAGATTTGTTCTCCATAAGCCTCTGTGAACTTCAGTGGAAACTTAATTTCAGGTTTTGACCGAGCCCATAGCATAACATGCAGGTTTTAGAAATATTTCAAAACTTAACAACTCCCTTTCTCAGAGGAAAGTTGAAACGGGGAAGGAAACAGAATGCTTGCTAAAAAAGAATAACTGAAGTTGAAATATATGTTATTTTTAAAACTGGCAAAAGCATTGCTTTCTTAATAAGTGGTGTTAAAATATAAATTTACTGTAGATGAAAGTTCTTGCCTTACTATAGTGGAAGTGCCAGCAATAGCTACGAAGTTGTCCTACATACAAAAGTTGTCTGTACATTCACTTCTTCTCATCTATTAAAAAGAAAAGTTTTTCTACCATTAGAACAATTTGCTAACATTTCTAATCTTATACCCATTTATAAAATCATAAGCAAACACCAATTTAACAATAAGTGCATCCCAGCTTACAATGCCATGGTTTCCTTCTACTGAATTATTCTACCAACACCTACTAGCTAAAAATCACTCAGCAAACCTGTCCAAATTTTAGTCCTGTCCTTCTTCAAGGGCCTGGAAGAAAACACATGCTACACAGAACATAGTGAAGAACAGTCAGCACCTATCACAGAAGACAAAATAGACTCCCATGCTTAACAGCAATTTTCCAGACCATCAAAAGTGGAGCTGAGAGGCTCTTCCCCCCCACCTCAAAGAAACTATCAAAATCCCTAATGGCTCTAAGATCTTACTCCTGCTAGTCCTCTGTTAGCCCTGTTTCCCAAAGTTGGTACTGTCATGTTATGAAACTTAAAACTTATACTGTGGTATAAATGACTCTCAACTAAAACCTTGCTATAAGCACATTTTATTGCCTGACATTTAACTACTTAACCAGGAATAAAAAGTAAAGCAACAAAAAGTGCATTTAGAGAGTGTTCTTCTTTAACAGGTTCAGAATATGTCCCAATCTATTGAAGTTTTAAATCTACGGACTCAGAGGGATTTCCAGTATGTTTTAAAAATGGAAACACAAATGAAAGGGCTGAAGGCCAAGTTTCGGCAAATTGAAGATGATCGGAAGACACTAATGACAAAGCATTTTCAAGTAGGTTTTATTTTAACAATAACTTTGAAAGCCTGCTGGAAGCAATGTACTAAGCAGCAATGCATGGACTGCTAAGATCTCAGCTTGAAATGCTCATACAAGAGCAACATTAAAAAAAGAAAAGAATAATGAAGTTTCCTTTATGATGATAATCTTTTGCTCTGTTCAATTTAATTGTGCTAGGAAGAAACTATTAATTATTAAAACATTAGAAAAATGTCCCTAGAAACTGAACCCTGTTTTTTTTCTGTACCAACGTGCATATCATAGTGAAAAATTATTGTTCAAGATACACTGATAAATGTAAAGATCCAAAGAAAAAAATATCAAATAAGTAGAGAGTTCTGTACTTTTTCTGTTACCTGATATTTGTTGCAGCTGAAAAGAAGAAAGCCAATAATAAATCAGTTGTTGTAATTTTTATCCAGTACAGTTAAGATCTGATTTCATATCTAAAGGTTTGCTATTTTGAGCTTGGGATAGGGGCGGAGGGCAATCATTCGTAGTCACACCTGTGTGATTCAAGAAAGACTTCCAGAGAATTGTAATGACAAAAAAAAAAAAAAGAACAACCCACATGAGCCAATCTTTTCCTGAGTAGAAGGTTCACAAAATTTCATTGTATACTTTGAAATAAGCTATCTGAAGCACTCTTAAGGAAAAAAATAGAAAATACGCTCTACAAATACCAGGTGTAATAAATGGATACTTCTGGTCTGCAAGACAGGATCTAGAAAAAACATTCTGCATACTAAACTATTCTTAACCAAGTATATATATATATATATATATATTTTTTTAAGTATTTGTGAAACAAAACAGACAGTTTTCTAATCAATGAGGTAAATAATTACATAATTTCTTTTTCAGATATACTGAATATCCAACAGGTCTTAGTAATATCAGGAATTATTATGCTAATTATCTGACTACCAAATTTAATATTTTCTTGCATCATTCTTTATATTGGAGTTTGAGCACATACATCCAGTCATTTTCAGGCAGTAAGAAATGTCTTTTTTCCTTTTATCACTCATTGCTACACCACCATGTTATCTGTGTAACATCATTATATATTCAGTATATATATTCTGCATTCCTGTTCTAAACTTACTTGGGAACAAAATATCTAAATTGACTGTCTGATGCTTGACATCAAAGGTAGTAGACTTTTGCAGTACTGACCTTTTCAATATTTGATATTTGTATTGGTCAATCATTTAACTTCCATTTGACAGTTTGCCAGGTGGACAAAATAGATTTTTAGACATCTAAATGAAAGAATAATTTGAAAGGTCAACATCACAATATGCAGCTAGCTTTCTGAAATTTGATCGACTAAATTTCCAGTCCTTTATCTCAACTGAGACAAAGAAATTCATTCTTAACATAGCATTACCTCTGATATCAGCAGGCACTAAGTGCTAGGATATGTCTACCACTGTTCATACTGCAATAAAATCTAATTCTTGTACCATCATAGAAACAAGTTAGGGAGTGTCAGAACACATTTTTTTAATGAAAACAGCTAAATCATCTTTTTATCATTTACTGAAGTAAAAAGTTCTAATGTTGTGGCTCCATATTTATGACAGAGTACATAATTTGCTCCAAGTCACACTTGAGCATATGGTCATACTTATGTCAAATCAGCATTCATGCATTCACTGTTTCTCTTATACACATTTTGCTGAGTTACAATCTTTTCATTTTTTTCCATCCATCGTTTATTCATGGTTTTTGACTGTTTATGGCTTCACAGAACCAAAGCCTAAGTTCATCACCTCCAAATTAAATAACTTGGGCTTCTGAAGCTATGCTTCCCACATCACAAAGCCTACTCTTGCTGTCATGAAGAAAACCATAACTACTTTATTTTTACAGATAAAGTAGACTAAAACCGAGCTTTTACTAAGAACAATCAAGTAAAAGTAGTTTCAGCTGTAGAAGAACTCAATAATTCAGCTATTAAAACATAATTTGAAGACCCACTGACAACAAAATCAAAGATGAAAAGGAAACCCTTGATTCTCATTAATTCATTTATAACTATTATTATGCTTGAATTAAAAATGCTAATTTCTATTAAGAAATTATTATGAAATATTATATTATTATAAGCTATTAAGATGATCTGTGTGCAAAATACCCTTCTGAACACCACACGTAGGTCTTTATTTTGAACAAATAATTCCAATATGAAAGGAATTGTTAATGCCCCATGGATAAATTAGCTGAGTGATGAATAAATGCTGCATACCCTCTCAAGCAATTTTCAAACCTGTTTGAGAAGTGAAAACTCAGAGGTAGATTTTCAACCATTTGTAAAGGCCAATCCCATCCACTTATTTCATATTTCCATACTAGCAAAGCATTCTGTTTGGCATCAAATTATTTATTTTTGAAATTATTTACTATGTTCATTGCATCCCATAATACAAGTGACTTTAAAAACTATGTACATGCATCTCCATGCATCTGTTATTGTGCTAACCATCAGGCTTCCATCTAGTTCTGTTCTGCTTTCCCTTTTAATCTCCTGACTACACTCCAGCCATCCTTCAGGACTGTATTTTCTAATCCCTTCACAACAAGCCCTCCCTGGGTGTCCTCATCCATTCCCTATCTCTATTATCACCTCATACTAGAACCTAACATGTCTCCATTTCCACCTTTTTTATTGTTTTGCCCAGTCTTGCATCTCCTCATGTCTCCAAGGATTTGCTCATGGACATCCTGCTGTTTTCACAAATTAAAAACAGATATGCAAATCTCTGTGTACAGCTGATATATCAAGGACAAACCTGCATGCTACTCATAAAAGAAAATATTTTGATTTCAAGGATTCTTTGAGGCTTTCTACACAGCAATGACCAAGAAAAAAAAGAAAAAAACACCTCAAGCAACCTAAGTTAATTATAAACATTAAGATTTATACCTTCAAAAACTAATTACAACATAAAGAATGATTAGGTGGAGAAATTCTCAAAGAACATGACAGCAAAGTCTGAGAAAGGATCAGCCAGAGATTCCAAACTGAAGCCTTACTTCTTTAATAAACACTTAAGGACAGGATTGGCAACATAACACCAACTGCACATGGCAATAAAATGATTTGCAATATTTCAGAGCATAAATAAATAAATAAATAGAGGAAGCTCAAAGGCTCCTAGTGATGTACCTGTATGACAAATACTAATCAGTTTAAGAACCATGGATTATTTTTTTTTTCATCAGAAGAAAGATCTATATGATTGTGGTCAGATCAGAATAAATAGGACTCAATATACGTTAAGAAAGAAATGAACTCGGTATTTCTAAGGAGCGAAATAGAATTTAACAGTTTATCTGCTATAAAAACAGGTATGACATCTTTGATGCCATTATGTGTTCAAGCCTAATCACCTTCTCAAGAAAAATACAGTCAGTCGGGAGTTTATACATTTTTGGTTTACATCACTTGAAGGTAATCATGTAACACAGCAGAAACAAACTCTTCTCTCATGCATTTTATCTACTGCTTAGTGCCACTAATTCTGAGGTTTCTAAAGCTTCTGCAACAACAACAAAAAAAAATAGATCCGTAGCTAAAATCAATAATTATTTTCAAGTCATTTTAATAATTAGGCATAAATATTACATAATGGAAAATGAGAAGAATGAATTCCTTTAAACTGCTCTAATGCACATTCGATTGCCCTTTAACAGGAGTTGAAAGAAAAGATGGATGAGCTCCTGCCACTGATCCCAGTTCTGGAGCAATACAAAACTGATGCCAAATTAATCACCCAGTTCAAGGAAGAAATTAGGAATCTGTCTACTGTCCTCACTGGTATTCAGGAAGAAATTGGTGCTTATGACTATGACGAACTACACCAGCGGGTGCTGAGTTTAGAAACAAGGCTTCGAGACTGCATGAAAAAGCTCAGTAAGTTTAAAATTTCATGTATGATTTGATCCCTCTGTTGAATGTTTATGATTTTTCTCAGTAGAAAGAAATTTTCCTTCACAGTGAAAGACAGTATCATATCCTGATTCATGCTATACTAATAAATATCAAAAGTAACTCATCTTAAGGACAGTCCTATCAATAGATTTGCACTAACGTATCTTAGATCAACATGTATCCTACTGTTTACAAAAGGAATTATGATGGAAGAAACAAAAAAAAAGCAACTTAAATCTAAGATCCTTACATCTGGTTGGAAAGCACAAAGATTCTTTCTAAAAGGTTCAGACAGATATTCCTATTTTGAAGTTGGAAGTAGAATGGAACAAATTTGGTGTTGTCAACATCATAATAATGATCCAAATTTCACTATGACATCTGAGAGGGCAGTCCAACTGCACTGTCTTTAGACCTGTAGTATCAGCACTAAGACAGCTAAGCCATTCTTTAATTTGCAATACAACATAATTAGTATTACATCTATATGTTATTACATCTATATGGGGAATAAAGCATGACTTCTCTAAAAAAATACAGCATCAGTCTATCAGGAGCACCAGACAACATCAGAGACCCTCCATCTTCATTACTATTGTACTAGCTTTAGTAAGAAAAAAATCAAAGTTCAGCACCTCCAAAGCTCAACACTAGATCAATATTACCTACCAAAACTAGATGTCTGAAGTATTATTCAGCCTTAACTTTCATTACCCAAATAAGGGCAACTAGTACCTACCTACTTCACAACCATAATAGATGAATGCATCCCAAAAGAAATCCATGCATTCTGAGATACTTGAATGAATCACTATTGAAATCTTGGGTGCTACAGAGAAAGAATACTTTCTAAGTTAAGAAAGAGCACAAATGAAAGAGAAGCTCTAAGATTCCTTCCTGTGATCAGTACCTCAGCAAACAGTTACGGGATGGCTTACCTTCAAAGGCTATATGTGACATGAAATACATAATTAAATTTATAGGCAGTGCATTCATTTTTGTGAGGCAATAGAATGAGAAAAAATCTAGGTTAGGTTACACTCTTAGATTATTTATTTTCAATGTCTTCATTTTAAACTAGAAATAGCACCATGACAATAGGCTAAAATGCATGAAAGACTTTGTCAAACAAATTTCTTATAGTCTTATTTTCCCCTCAGTACTCATAGAATAGCATATTACTACACTAACAGAAGGCAGTGAAGAGAAAATAGTTACATTATAATATTGCAGCAAGCAATAAAAATCATAAATAATATTTTCAGATAGTGTTCCTTTAAGCTCATCAGGCAACAAAAGATCATCATGATATGCTTAACGAGTATCTTATTTTTCTTTGATTCTATGGCGTATCATATACCTTTAAAACTGAGTAGTAAAGTGACTACAGTACAGAATAGATTTATTATTTTTTTTTTTTTTACATCAGAATGACCAGATGTAATCATGAGGACTCTCTTCCCAGATGTCTACTATTTGCTTAATTTTTCACCAGATTTCCCCTCAGATATTCTGAATTCCTGCAGCATATTCTCTCTCTCTCTTGATGTACTAGTGTAGAAAAGTTATATATATTAAATATATGTTCATGAACAATAGAGAGTTTTTAAATAATTCCGGAGCACATCCATGCCACCAACACACTAAAGATAAGCATAATAACCTGTTCCCAATAAATGGACACTTCCCTGGACATCCTTTCTCCTTCGCATTCTCTGAAGTCTTCATTGCAGTTCTAGTCAGTAGGGAATTAACTTTCCTGATAGCATCCCACTTGCTGCTCTGTTTAGGATTTGTGACTAAGCAGGTGCTGACAACACACCAATGTTTTCGCTAGTGCTGAGCAGTGCTTTCAAAGTATCAACAATTTCTCTTTTTCCCAGTGTTCCCTTCAGAGTGGGGTCACAGGTGGGGAAGAAATTAGGAAGAAACAGAGCTGGCTCAAACTGGCCAGAGGGTTACTCCTTGCCACGTAGCAGCATGCTCAACAATAAAAACTAGGAAAGCCTGCCTTTCAAAGCAGCCATGGGTCACACTTAACTAATTGGGCTTAGATGCTTAAATTACTTTTATTTTCTTCTACTAATAGTGGTGCTAAAATCCTTTATAGTAGTTTAAAAACAGCTTAATTTAGGCTTAACTGCAAACAGCTCCTGAAGAACTGTTGTGTGTTCCAGTCATACGCACCACAAGATATGACCCAGCTGCCAATCTGACAGCTAGAAGCCTGCAGCAGCAGAAGGCAGATTGGCCACAATGTTACACAGGACCTAGCTCAAACCTTAACAGATTTTGTTGCATTTCATAATATAATTACCTAACTTGCACGTGTAATAGCTATTTTCCATTCTTATCCCTAGCAGGCATTTTTCACCATTATAATGCATTATTTGTATTGTCCTGGCCACTTAGAGGAGATCTTCCATTTTCACTGGCAGCAATTTCAATTTTTATTAGCATACAATAAGCAGATGTTTTACTCTCCCTGAGATTTCATAATTACCATAGCAGTTGTGATAACTGAAACTCACTCCTTCCCTTTGGAACAGGAGAAAGCTCAGGTTAAAACTGCTTAGAAATCTAGCCACGAAACTTTAAAATGGAGAACATGAAATAAATCATGTAGAGAAAGTCTGTATGATTGCATATACCACAAGTGCATATTGAATTATGCACGTACAGGTCCTTCACTAGCAGTCATGAAAGGTATGCTTGTGTGAGTGAATGAAGATTGCACAGTAAGCCTAAGACCATTCTGGTCTGTTCAGTAAAATGAAAAAAAAAAAAAAAAAAAAGAGAAGCAAATACTCTGTAAAAAGTTATTTACTGAAGTACGAAGACATGATTCAAGTAGATATATGTTGGATTCATTTGCAGCTATAGCTATAAATAATGTATATTATATATAAACTATATAGAATATAATATAAAAATAGAATATATATAGCTATATTTTTCATTAACACTTTTTGTTATAAAGTTCAAAATTACAAAATTCCACTTACCCCCCAAAAATGCAGGTGTATCAGTGACAAAAAAGGTATTAACGAAGGCATACAATTACTGATTGCAGTGGTACTTGCACTCTCAAAGCAACATTCCCAGTGTAATTTGGAGAGATTTATTAATATCTCCTAGTACAAAACTGTTCAATAGCAAGTTTTATCATTATCTCCATCTTGTAGATGAAGAAATAAGTCAGGAAGGATAAGTGACTTTCCCAGGGATTACTTGGCAAGTCACTGCCCTCATGCCATAGGATCCACAGGCTTCTTCTCACAGAGCTCAAGTGACTAGACTGAAGTGCTTCCTGGATTTGTATTATGCAGGACAACAGTCATGCACCCATTAAGAACTGATTCTTTGTTCCTTCATGTAACAAAGTAACAGCACAACAAATTTGATCATAATTTGGAGAGTGAAATAGCTAACGGACTCGGAATTTGTTTGTGCAACAACTGAAAATAAAATGTCATCTTCCCCTCTTTATTACCTGCACTAAATGCAATGCTTAGGAACTTCAGGAAGATGATTTGGTTGTTTTTGTTTTATTTCTTTTCTAAGTCCTTCTATTAATCATACACTTAACTTGGCTTACGTAGCAGCCATCAATGTCCATTTGCATCAGAGCCTGGGAAGATCATATATTCCTAGCTATCTTCAAAATAGCTCCTGTTCAGTTTATTTTCACAACCTTATCTAATAAAGACCTGTGCAACCAGTTACTTATTAAAGAGGGATTTCTAGATACAAAGATTTGACCAGAAAAAAAAGTCCTTGCTAGTTTCATAAAATAGAAAAATCAAAGATTGATGCAATCTTCTCCTTTGAACTGAATAAGATCACTCTCAGTCCTACATAACGTTTGTTTCCCACATTTCCCATTGTATAATCAATGAATACTAAGATGTTATAATTACAAAATAAACAAGAGTTAGGCAAAGCAGATTATAATAACAAAAAGAGAATAAACAGAAAGCTTACCTATATCCTGGGCTCACTTACAAAACTCCAGCAGAGTAGATCTCCAGAAGAGATCCTTCCCCACTGGTAGCCAGCTCTTATATAGGTCTTGGAGCCAGGACAACAGTCATGCAGGCTCCACCCCTTCCAGCAGCACAGGTGAATTGCCTTCACCTGTGCTCCTCTGGCTGACTCATGGCTCACCTCAGGTGATCAATCAGAGGTTCAGGCCATGACTCAGCAGTTCCCATACACCTATGTAGATTAGCTTGTACACTATAGCATGACCAAATATCATGGCGAAACATTTATAAATTTGAAAGAAAAATGAAATGACATGTTACTTTTTTCCCCATTCTTATAAAGCGTTCTTTCTTTAAGGATGCTACATCAGTGAAATACCTACACATCACTGTGATATTAAGTCCCTCAGTAAACGCAGATTCCATCAGGGTCTTGCTGCTAATATGTTTGTTATTTATGTCTCCTGAAATATAGACTTTTGGTTCATTAATAAGGTCAACAACCAAGATCATACTGATTTTCATTATTTCCTCTCAGACAGCCTGACACAACAAGTATAACATTAGAAGCCAAATGATACAGCCACAGTTGCTGAATAATTCTCATATTCACTTTTTTAGCCTCAGCCAGGCCCATAGTACCAGTCCATCTGTGTGTATAACCCCAGGGCAGAGACAGATGCAGGCCTGCACTTGTACACAGTGGTGCATCTGTGTAGAAGATGCATTGTCTCATTTTTACCTCTCTACCCTTCCCCTCATTGTTACCCTGATCGATGGAAAACTGAAACATTCATCAATTTAACCTTTCACTGAACTTCCTGAAAGCAAAAATAAGTCTTTTCATTTATTATTAAATGTTACTTGTGTCAACTGAGAAGATATTTTACTAGGCTATATTTTTCTTTACACCTAGGAAAGGAAAACGTGCTCTAAAAGACACAAAACCAAAAATATATAAAGGTTTTGTTTTCATTTTTTTAGTTTTTGTTTGTTTTTGTGGGTTTTTTGTCTCTTTGTTTTGTTATATTTGTATTGTTGCCTAATTCAAAAAAGTTAATACAATGAAGATGACAATGCTTCAACCTAAGCCTAGTTCCCTGGAGCAACTATTTAGTTTTGAGCAGTTGGTCTAGTGCTCTGTCTGATGTCAAGGAGGGTTGTGTAATTATGTGCTTTAATGCATTTGTTTTTCTAATTTCAGCATGTGGCAAATTGATGAAAATTACAGGCCCCATTACAGTCAAGATATCCGGAACCCGATTTGGAGCCTGGATGACAGATCCATTGGCATCAGAGAAAAATAACCGAGTATGTTAAAACTCTGAATATCTGTGTCCTTCTAGAGTTTTATTTGCTTTATTTTAATTTTTAAAGAGATTTTTCCCTTAGGAAGTTACACTCGCCAACATATTTCTTCCATCATTTTCACTGCTAAACATCTTCAGAGAGAGACCAAAAGTGTTTGGGCAAAAATATCTAAAGGCTAATGTTAGCATAGCACATTTGTGCCATTTCCTTTAATGGCATCAGGGATGATATAAACCTATCCAAAGCGAATATATATTTTATTTCTTCCTAAGATTTTGTTGAGCTCAGCTCCTTAAGAACTTAAGTAATTTAATACAAACATCAACACCTATACAGCCCCCCCTCATAATACAGCATTGCAGGATTAAGCTCTACATAAGCTGAATACTGACCACTGGCCATAATGCATGTTATGCTACTGCTTACCTCTGCAATAGGATCCCAGCCTGGCCATCATAAGAGTTCACTTGCGTAAGTAAATCTTGATTCGGAAATCCAAGAGTTCTCCATATCTTTCTAACAGGAATTTGGATAATATTGTATTTTGACAGACTGCTGTGCACCCAGAACCTTTTTCCTTCTTTCTCAGTTAGATATTCATCACATCATATCACATTCACGTGCCTGAAATTGTGTTCCAGATATTCACATCCAACTTTTGTTTTCTTTCCAGGTCTGGTACATGGATAGTTACACTAATAATAAAATTGTCCGTGAATATAAATCAATTGCAGACTTTGTCAGTGGGGCAGAATCAAGGACATACAACCTTCCATTCAAATGGGCAGGAACCAACCACGTTGTCTACAATGGCTCCCTGTATTTCAACAAGTACCAGAGCAACATCATCATCAAATACAGCTTTGATACTGGGCGGGTGCTTGCACAGCGTAGCCTTGAGTATGCTGGCTTTCACAATGTCTACCCCTACACCTGGGGTGGCTTTTCTGATATTGACCTGATGGCAGACGAAATTGGGCTCTGGGCTGTGTATGCCACCAACCAGAATGCAGGCAACATCGTTATCAGCCAGCTAAACCAGGACACACTAGAGGTGTTGAAGAGCTGGAGTACAGGCTACCCCAAAAGAAGTGCTGGAGAATCCTTCATGATCTGTGGCACCTTGTATGTTACTAACTCTCACTTAACGGGAGCCAAGGTCTACTACTCTTACTCCACCAAAACCTCCACTTACGAGTATACAGACATTCCTTTCCATAATCAGTATTTTCATATATCCATGCTTGACTACAATGCAAGAGATAGAGCTCTCTATGCTTGGAATAATGGACACCAAGTCCTGTTTAATGTTACTCTTTTCCACGTCATTAAGACTGATGACGACACATAATTCTTTCACTTTTGCTTCCCTCACCCTCCCCCATCTCAAAACAGCCTCATTTGTGAAAAATTCTAACACATCCATTTCTCTTAATTCCATATCTTTTTCATTTCTTTTCTTCATTAAGAAAAAGTAACATTTTCTACCATGCAATGCATTTCAAATATGGCTGTACCTGTCAAAAACAACTTGTTGGAAATAGAAGCATCATAACTCATGATTCCACAAGGTACTGACAGACATTGTTGTGAAAAACACTACAAGAAGTGGCTAAGGACAGTTTAAAAGATATCGATCTGCCTTATTTTAGAGTCAGAGACTAATGGTGGCTTAAATGCATTATTTTTTTTTTTTTTTTTTTTTTTTTTTTTTTACCTCATTTTTGTTTTCAGTCTCTTGTTAAGCTCCAGGAAATATTTTGGTAATGTAAGACATATTGCACATTGTATTTTTTATTTATTCTAGAAGAAAGATTTAAGAATTTAATTTTACTTGGACACAGAGTACAACTCATTTTGCCATCACCCAATTCCAGATGTGGTGCTGTACAATATGTTTTTAAATCTCTTGCAAACATTTTATCAACAGTATGTATTTCTACCATTGTAACCACCATTGTGCAATTGTATCTCTTCACTTATGTGAAAGTAAACTAAGTACTATTTTTTATAAAATATATTGAAGCTTAATTGCAGTTCTGGCTATGGGTCAGTTGACAGTGGCAACTCAGAGAAGGTTGTTATTTGTTAGAAAAGATGGTTCAGTAGTTTTTTAGGTGCACGATCCCCATTCTCAGCCTTGCTTGGAACACCCCTTCTTACTCACCACTGGTGCTAACTCGAAAATTTGCAATTATGAAACCTCATGCCAATGCTTGTAAGACATTGGCCTTGGCACTGGGTCTGTTTTTCAGCAAGGGCAAATAATATGGTAGCTCTTTGGCTTGCTACAATATCTCATTAGAAACTGGAAACTGGAAAAAAGTGTCATAAGCCTCATTCTATCTCATTTGAAACTAGTGGGGCGGTGACAAGGGTTCCATTAAGGAAAAAAATAAGATGCTATTTATTTAGGCACATCCACAAATAAACTAATATTAATAATTACAGTAAACTTTATATTAAGCTGGGCTGTCACATAAGATAAAGAGACAGGTACTCGAAACCATGTGGAAAGTCTTGTTCCCCACAAAACCTGAGATTTTCCTCTTTTAGCCCCTTTAAGATTGCTCATAGAAAATCAAGAATACTTATAAAGATACTCTTGTTTAAGAACAAGAAAAAAAATGCGCAGGTATTTTGCTAGATCCATTTTGAAGACATTTGATTACTTGATTCTTCCAATGTACCAGTAGAGACTGGTAGAGACAATGAAAACTTTCATTTATGTCCTATACACAGTAATGAGTCTGCTTTACAACATGCCCATGTGGAGATGAACACAAATTGCCTTACTTTTTCAAATTGGTTGCAAAACAAAAAACTAACTGAGAGGTTTCAAGAACAAACAAAGGGGAAAAAGACACCCCAAACCTAAAAACACACAAAATCAGAGAAAACTTAGAATCATAGAATCATTAAGGTTGAAAGAGACTGCTAGGATCATCTAATCCAACTGTCCACCTACTACTAATATTGTCCACTAACCACGTCCCTGAGGACTACATCTAGACACTTCTCTTGAACACCTGCAGGGATGGTGACTCCACCACTTCCCTGGACAGCCTATTCCAGTGCCTAGCCACTCTCAGAGAACAATTTTTTCCTACAATCCAACCTGAAAAGTTACTCTACTGTGTCCACTTTCCCTCTTTGTCTCTTGTAAAAACGGCAGCTGTAACCCTTCAAAAATCACACAGTGGAGTCAGACTCCAGGTGAATAGACAAGTTAAACCACTTCACTCCTGTATCAACTTGCCACACTTTCCAGTCTTGACAATTGAACTGTGACAAAGGAAAATGTGACTACTAATTAAATGGCTTTTTATATCATATAGAAGGAAACATTCCATGTTTTATGGAAATGAAGTATCTTTACCCTAAAGCAAATGCTAACCTTTCCTTCCCACAGAGTAACAAACAAGTTTGTTGTTGGTGTTTTTTTTTTTTTTTTAAATATAGCACTCCTAAAAAGTTACTAGTGAGAAATTAAACATTTTTCTACCATCGTTAATACTAATATCTGGAAAAAAGTTACTATTATTCCTCAAGTGTAATTACAATATATACATTAGTGTAAGTTTGTAACGTTTCTTAAGAGTATATTAATCTCATTTAATTAGCAATTTAAAGGGTAACATGACTACACTCCTAATAATCAAAGGAAAGAGACTACTGAAGGGTGCTGAGGATGGGTGAATAAGAGAAAGGTACCTCTGAAGTGTTATTTTCTTACTGATAAAACTACAGCTCTAAGGTTTAGGAGCCATACCTAAATAAATCCTGCCCTTAGTAACAGTGGGTTGAATTCCAAAACCTTTAAACAAGAAATAATAACTTGCACACAACAGAACCTGGTGAGACACTACCAAGGAAGCAGTTCTACCTCCTCTTAAGAAGCATCCATTTTTCTGTGAATGTGTTGATCATCTGAATATCTTTAAATTCCTCTCATATTCCCAAAAGACTGCAAACAGCATGCCTTAATATGCGCAATTTTAAGTTTTACAAACTGCTTTCATAACTGAGCAGCACAAGAAAAAAATCTTCATAAAACAGCAGAAACCTACATAGGCGTAAGTAAAGTTTTATTCTTACAATTGCAACATAGGCTGTTTGTTACTGGGATGTCATGATACTTGAGGGAAAAAAAAGCTCTTTAAACACAGGAAAATTAATTGTGTGCCTACATATATATCTTAGTGACGAATCATAACCTCCTGCTTCAAGGAGTGTGTTACAGGTCCACCCGGCAGAGAAGGAGGCAGGTGAACACAAGGCAAGCACTATATTGAATAGTGCAGTACCTGCAGTTTGCTCCCTGCAACAGGTAAACCATTCCTCATGACAAAATGTGTGCAAGAACTCACCACAGAGAAAGTTCCTTGAACAGCGATCACCTTTTATAGTTCCTTCTGCAACTCATTCCAGTGAGTACCGCCAAGCCTCTTGCTACGCACTCAGGCTGCTCAGCCAGTCCTGCCTGTCACAGTGTGTTAAAGATGACCACTGGCAGCAACTCTGGATCCTATGTGCCATTCCTGTCACTACTAGCAAAGGCTTGGATTTAATTTGAAAAATTAAAAATGACTAAAAATGCTTTTAACTAAGAGTATTTATTTTCCAGACAAGCTGAAGCACTATCTATCACTCAGCTGAGCAGGCTGGATCCACAGCACAAGACAAGAGAATCTTTGTTTCAATCCACAGCATGAGTAAATCTCTTACCTGGCAGTTTGTCATAAATACTAAGAAAAAACATGGGCTAGACACGTACAAACCACTCTCAACAAATGATTAATCTGGTTAATTTTATTCTTTACTAGTTTTAGAATTTCCAGCAAACACCTTTGATTTGCACTACTTTCTATACTAGACAAAGCATTCTGAGGAATCCTTTGGGTGAGTATATTCTTAGAATCATAGAATAATCAGGGTTGGAAGGGACCTTTATGTTCATCTAGGTTCAACCTCCTGCTATAAAAGCAGGGACACCTCCCTCTATCCCAGGTTGCTCAGAGCCCCATCCAGCCTGGCCTTGAACACTTCCAGGGTGGGGACATTCATGACCCAGAGGGGCAACATGTTCCAAGTGTCTCACCAACCTCACAGTAAAGAATTTCTTCCTAAAATCTGATCTAAATCTACTCTCTCCCTGTTTAAAGCCATTTCCTCTCATCCTGTAACTCTCTGCCCTTATAAAAAGTCCTACACCAGATTTCCTCAAGGCCCTCTGTAGGTACTGAAAGGTCCCTCCAGAGCCTTTTCTTCTCAAGGCTGAAGAGCCTCAACTCTCTTCAGCCTGCCCCCGTAGAGGTTTCTTTTCCTATAAATCATCCGAGTGCTCCCTGTCGTAAGTCTGACTCCACATCTCTAGAATTCCAAAGGCAATGCTGAGCATTTGATCATCATTTTCACTGCTGAGGGCTGCAGTTGCAGAGCTACCACACTCCCACAGCAGTGCTGCAGACACTGGCTCCTGCCCCACAGCACCCTGCAGGAGTTTCTTTCCAGAAGCTTATGTGGCCTCAGGCATGCAGTGTAACTCCTACACTCCACCAGGATAGCCAGGCTCTGAAAGCCACTTCCCCACCAGGAATGTTTACCAAAACAAAAGCAGAGCACATTCTCCAAGCTGAGCTCTCCTTGGGAATTCTCCCATGCATGACAGCATGCATATATATTAAGGTGCAAGCAAATAAAGTAACAAAATAATCTTGGAATTATGGAGTAAAAGTTATTTCCCCCACACATAACAGACCATTTAGATTACACACAGATTATTATCCATAGGGTTTTCACATTCAATTACTGAGGAAACATGCATTTATTGATTTTTCTCCTAAGCAGTTATTAGGAAGGCACAACATATAATATTCAAATAAAAAAACTAGAACTAGGCCAAGCAGTACATAAGTAATGCAGCACTAAAGTACAAGTAGAAGATTTTGTGTTCTCCAACCTTACAATGTCAAAAGATTGCAAAAGATGAGTTTAGGGACCTGATCCAGAGTACACTGGAGTTTTGTTTACGCAGGAGGAAGAGTATACATCTCTTGTTAACTGTACCAAAACAGTCCACATGAGCAATTCTACTGTGCTATAGACAAGATAAAAACTGTGTCTTGATTTTCAGTGTAGCTGAGCACTACAGGTTTGACGCTTTACTTTTGGCAGATAAGAAAAATAAAAAAAAAAATTTAGTCCCAATAAAACCAGTTTGAGTTCTGGTTTCTGCAAGACAGTAGATATAATGCACAAATAGCTGTTCTGCCCTTCCCCAGCAACAGATCAAGTGACAGCTGTATATTTTACTACCTGTAACTCATTGCTACAAGTGTCAGACAGCTC